GGGGTAGGGGGCTCTTGAACCACAGTCCCGAGCGGGCAACCTTTTAAGCCGTAATTAGCTCATTGGCCATCTCTATATATTGTTAAATGAATTATAAACATATTGGGCAAGCGACCATAGCAGAAAGGGTCAGTAGATTATATTAAGACAATCTACAAAATGTCATGGGAACATTGAAACAAAAAAAAATATTTGAAAAAAAGTTCAGACGACGAGTAAAATGAAGAGTACAAAGATGTAGGCAAACTAAACACACAAAACAGTCTGAAACAGCTTTACCTGTTATGTTAACGTGAAATATACACTGAGGGGGGAGATAACTTGGAGGACACTTGCAGAACGGCTTCGTTCCCACAACTATACAGGTCCCGCCGTTCTTACAATATCCAGGAGTACAAATCTTTACAACTTTTTTTCATAAAAGGAAGAAATCATAATTATAAAAAAGAACAACAACAACAAACCAAGTAAACAAAATAAAAAAAAAAAAGGAAAGAAAGAAAAGGAAAAGGCACCCTGCTCAGGGTGCATCAAGAAAAATAAACAAATTAAAATAAATCAAAGCAAAACAAAAACAATTTAAAGACAAAGTGAATCAGAACACGAGGAAAAAGTAAGAAATAAACACCCAAACAATCTGCCAAAATTCAAAAATAATTCACGACATGAAATGTATTAAAATTTCCAGGGAACGGTCTCCGGTTTGTTTTCCTTTGTTTGTTCGTTTGTTTGTTTGTCTGTTTTTATTTCTTTATTTTTTATTTTTATTTTGTTTTATTTTTTCCGGCAATAAAGGTACTCGAATTAAGACTGAAAAAGAGTGAGATTTATTTGTAGTGGAAGCGAAACCGAAGTAATCATAACATCAACTAATGGGCCAAAACAGAGTTACCGTCACAGTTTTGACAGCGATCTCCACTACATGCCTCAGGACATTGACAGGTGAAGGACAAGTTGTCGGGTGCAGCAAAACACACACCACCATTTTGACATGGATTGCTATCGCAAGGATTCTGTCCTGTATTAATAAATAAAAAGTAGCTGATAAGATGGAGTGACATGAACTTATTTTGATATAAAAAAAATTCCTATATTTGGCGCATTGATAACATTGGGAGATTTGTATGAGAACGCAATCTATTCCAAGCATGAGGAAATCAACAAAATAGAAAATCAATAAATTAATACATAAAATAAACGATTATTATATTAACAAAATAAATAAATAAATAGAGTAGATAATTGGAGCACATATCAGTATTGTATTTCCTCGGGATCTTGATTGGCTGCACATACTCTGAGCAAGATAGTTGAACCTATGCGATGTTCTTTTTACCATAGCTAAGCTAGAAGAGTGACGATGGCCTGTTTCATTTTTGCGCGAGCAGTAATTCTTAGCTGGTGCAATTTTAAACAAAGGAATCCTTTGTATCACTCATCGAAGAGAGATGTCTGGAAACATGTACTACAGTTTACATAAAATTCCTTGCTCACTTGACTCCCCGCAACCTCTCTCTGTCACAGAGTAGGTTTTGCCATTGTAACTTGGGCAGTAACACTCGCCATTTTCCTTGCACTGTTGAGCGAGGATGGGAGGAACCCACAAAGGATCGCCTTTTGGACAGTCACATGCTGTGCACCAAAATAAAAGTAACATAAAATAAAACAATAAA